CTACTACCCTCGTGCTGATTAAGCAGGGGTGGTCTAACCTCGACGCTGCGTGTGTGGCGCCAGGCTCGGCTTTCTCCCCCCCCCCCTTTTTTTCCCCTTTGGGGTTGGAGGATTTCCTTCGTGATGTACTATGCGGGCTGGACCAACGTCAAGCGCAGCTTGTACAAATTGGCGGTAGTGCGATTGGGAACTTATTGTGCGTCATCTGCAACCTAACCTAGACGCGACTAACTCTTCTTTACAAATTTTAAAACATGATCACGAATTTGAAGTCTTTTCTTTCTCATTCGTTGAACTACTGGTCTGCCCCCTCCTTTCAGACCCCTCTTTCTCTCTCTGGCCGAGACCACTCAAACAACTTGGCGCTGCTCCGTCTCTGTAGATAAACGCATTTCCTGCTTCTTGTCCAGCTGCCTCCCCATCCCTCTCTCTCTCTTTTAATTTTAATTCCTTGTAACGCCTTCTCCCGCTCTTCGTTTCTTTCGCACGCTCCGACTCAGTTATTTTCATGGTTCAGGGTAATGTGGGCCGCGCCCTTGCGTGAACGCGCACCTCCCAACTGGGCCTCTTATCACTGGAAAAACAAACGTTACCATGGTAACGTTTCATCATGTGACCAAGCCCGGTAACGTTTCCTGATGCAACCTACCCCATGCAAAAGGATAGGGCCATCACAAACTGGTTGCATCACCAAACGTTACCTGGTTTGGTCGCGTCAAGAAACGTTACCTCGGTAACGTTTGTTTTTCCAGTGATGCGGCGTGGAGCCCGGCCCGGACCAGCCTGCAAATCCGGCAACTACATATTAAGAATATCTTTGAAAATTTACAGTATTTTTTTCGTGCATAACATGCACGACAGATCATTCTTGCTCGTCAAAGAAGTAAACTTTATAAACTTTGAATTTTGTAACCTTACTTTTGGAACGAAAATAACTCCCAGGAAACCTACGAAATTCTCAGTCAGTGTCCTGGAGCCCGGCAGGAAGCAATCGGCGCCGATGCACGGAGCCTCGCACACCATACAGGGTCAGTGGGGGTGCCTTGGCTGGACCAGGCTGGCGACTTTACATATTCTGTGTCGCTGTGCCGTGCGAGGGACGCGGAAAAGGAGGAGAGTGAAAATGCTGTGTAAGGCGAACAAGGGTCAAAAAATAATTCCAACTACCACTCGCCACCTTTTATTGACGGCAAATGTGTATACACCATATATGGTTGGTTTGTTTTTATCGTTTGTTTTTGTCTTTGGCTGTGCCGGATGCTGTGGAGACACAGACCTTGTAGGAGGAAGCCCGCCGGGGCGGCGTGGTGGGGCGGGGCGGGCGCCAGCGGCGAGGAGTCGAACAGTGATCAGTAGTTTGCTTTCTCCAGTCATCAGTTTTGGAAGAAGTCCCGAAACGACTGGGGAGTCTGGGTGGCGTGGCGTTGCGATGGGGCCGTAAGGGCTGAGGGGGGTGAGGAGGAAGGGGCGAGGTGGTTGTAAGAGGGAGTGAACAGGGTGAAACGGGGGGTGTGGGCGGAGAAGCTGGTTGAACATGGACCTTAGCGACTCGGAGAGCAGGAGTTTGTGCAGCCAGCGCCGTGCTAACGAGCGCAGTGCCAAATGCAAAAGTTGTTTGCAGCTCAAAGATGTTTTGCAAGTTCGGCTCCGAGCGCGGGCGAGACGGGAAGTGCCCTGCACTCTCCCTCCAGGGTAGCACGGGTGAGGGGGTTGTCCGCTGCAGGGAGTGCGGCTGCACCTGTAGTGTTCCCTACGCCTGCTCTGGCCCCCAGGACCGGGGCGCCTGCAATGTGTAAAGGCACGGGTCAGTTGGCGTTACTCTGCTCTGAAGTACACAGGCTACTAAAGTTTGAGACATGTCTGCACAGAAATCAAGGAAATGTTTAACCGTTGATTTCTCTCTCTCCCATTGTTAACAAATGACTTGGTACGTTTCACCGCGTTTCTAACAAACAAATGAGTCCTTTTTCATTTTTCACGACATTTGTGATGTGCTTTGCTTACCTGTGTGGGCTCCCATTGCAGCGGGCGAGGGCGCTCGCGCTCCCAGTTGATGTGCACGCTGGCCGCACGCTGCAGCTCGTGCCACGCGCTCGTCACGGCCGCGCCAGCCAGCAGCGCCTCCACCTCCTGGCCGAACGCCGTCTCAGTACGGTCGCCGTTGGCCACCTGACGGGCATTTAAGGAAATTAAAAAAACAAAAAACAGCAAAAAAAGAAAAATAGCAAATAAAAGCAAAGCAAAACAAAAGCAAAGGAAACACTGAAAACTGCGTAATGACTCATGTTGATCGTTAGATAATGACGCATAGTTTTTGTGGAATAATATTTCCTAAACGAGCTCTGAGATTTAATTTTTGAGAGCACCATTGAATTCCCTGTTCAGTTTCCGATCAAACGAGCCTACATGTGATAGGATTCTGAACCAAGGTTCTCTAAAGGACCAATCGGCGGTAATGCGATGGGGAACTTATTTTAGGCCGCGTTGTCATCTAGTGATCGACATTCAGCATTACGCAGTTTTCAGTGAAGGAAAACAAAACAAATATGTTATTTTACATGGTCGTAAAACAGTCTTACTTTTTCTT